TGAGTCAACCCTGAGCCGGTGAGATTTGAACCGCTGACCTGCTGATCTAGCAGTAGCCTGCAGTGCTGCATTTAACCACTGCGCCACCTTGGCCACCATGCAAAGAAATGTTTGATGCTTATTAAAAGCAGTTTATGCCAGATTCTTTTATTTTTATGTGTGCCACCAATAAAAGCCACGTTTCCAGCTTACCTCACATAGTTCTAAACTGGAGGCCTATTAACAATTTGCTCTGATGCCTTAAATTTGGCCAGGTTATCTTTACCATTAATTCATTCTAGGATGGCTGCAGAGGGCAGGTGGGAATATGCTTTTCTATTTAAGAAGAACAAGGCAAAAGAAGAAAAAGTAGCGGAAAACAAATTATAAGGGTGAAATGAAAATTGAGATATGGAGAGCAAAGCAACAATTCTGCAAAGGGATGTGATAGGACTTGAGATATGAAGAAAATTGAAATAGGCATGGACTTGACAACACTTCTATCTAAGGCTACAGAATTAGGTCAGAGGAATGAGGAAAAGCTTTTACTTTTGAAAACAACAACTTTTTCTTAAGATAACAGAACTGACATAAAAACAAAATTATTCCTGACCATAGCAGCAGTCGTGTCATTGTAAGATGAGAAATGTTGCTGTGATACCTTGTTCATAGCACTTGTACTTTCGTTTAAGATATTTGAAAATTAAGATATTAAACCCGTAATATGTATACAGTACTACTTTTTCTTCCAAAATTCTGGGTAGTATACATAACACCATTCCCCCATAGCTTTTCCCCATAAGAATCTTGTGAAATCATTTGTGCTGAGATGATGGCCTGAACCAAAGTAACAACCAATCACATGACAAACTGACCAAACTGACAGACAAGACATTTATAACCTAAGGAGAATAGGACAGGAAAATCCTGCTGATGGTGTTACCTAGTCTGGTAACAAAGTGTTCAGAAACTACATTGAAACAAACTGGGAGAACAAACCGCTGCCATAATCTAGCGCAGGGCTGTCAAACTGGCGGCCCGGGGACTAGATGCGTCATGCACAGGCCACGCCCACCAAGCTCCACAAAGGGGAGAAATGTCGCAATAGGTCACATGATGGCAACGTGACACCACAAGTTTGATATCCGTGCTCTGGAGAGTTTCCATGGCTGACCTGGATGCACATGGTCCAATGCCGTCTCTACTATACTAACTGGCTCTTATACCCAATATCATCTTTGTTCTTTCTTGGAAGATATGGTACTGAAGATACGGTACTGAAGATTATGTATGTATGTATGTATGTATGTATGTATGTATGTATGTATGTATGTACACACTTCTCTGAAGACACTGAACTGAAAGATGCAGTTTTAAGAAAATCTTCACATTAAATCTGTTGAGAAAGAGACTTCTTCTTGGAAGAGATTATGAATTTGTCTTCTATACGTTCTCTATTATTTCTTTTAAGCTGACAAGTCTCGTTCTATTTTTGAATATTTCTATTACGTTCTTTTTGTAGGTGGGTTTTCAAACAGCTATATGACAAAGGATTGGTATACCGAGGAGTTAAGGTTATGCCGTTCTCAACTGCATGTAATACACCCCTTTCCAACTTTGAGTCTCACCAGAATTATAAGGTACAGTGCTTTATATCTTGGATGGAACTGTATAGTGGCAAAGTCACATAATTTTGAAAATATTCAATAGCCTTGTAAGGACGGAGAGTATATTCATTCCTATTTAATAGACTTGTAAAAGCATTGCAAGTGACAGCTGACTGTTTGAAGGTACTTCAACATACCAGACCACTTTCTTTAGACTTTTGATGTCTACGCTTAAGAGAGCTAAAGTAGATAAACCATCAGGGCTCTCCTTCTGATGGGTAAGCAGTAGTGAAACAAAATCAGCTTAATCTTAGGTGAGCTGTGGTTTTAGATTCTAAACTAGGGTCTGCCAATTGTGTACTGACCTAAAGACTGTTTCAAACTATTCCAGCTATTCATTTGATGTAAAGCCTTTATATTTTCGCATGTTCTGAATTCTGGTTTCTTAATAAATTGCTTTTATTTGTTTTGTTCATTAGGTCATATTGGTTGGGGTTTTATTGTGGTTTAAAGAACCTTTAATTAAGCTAAAAGTATTGCTAGCAGTCTTGTATGTGAGAACCATTGTGCTTGTGGCAACTGCCATTGTATCTGGCTTTTTAAAAAATAATCATAAAAATTTAATGGGAATACAGGTATGGTGTATTCAAACCAAAATGCCAATGTTTAGCTACATCTTTATTTAAAACAATGCCTCAGGGTCCCTTACCGACCCCAGAGGCCTTATTAGAAAACATTAAAGAGCTGCAGTTCAGTGATTTGTTTAGAAGTATGCCTATTAATTTATGAAGAAAGAAAGATAAATATAAGTTGAACAGAAAGTGTATAACAAGCGAAAACAGGTGCTAGGAAACTTTACAACTGTGGTTGTGAGACGCTACCTGTCATGACAACCATTTTGTGAATCTTCTCATGGTAGCTATATATATCTAGCTTTCTTCACATGGAAGTTGTCTGCAGATATTCATAATATGCATATCTGGAACTTCAAGGATTGATTGTAAGCATTACTCATTCAGTTCTGCTGTAACTTCAAATAGTCACCGAACAAGTGGTCAGTAAGCGAGGACTGTGTACCGACCAAAGTTTGTTTAATATAAGACTTCTTGTGAACTGTTTCTAGATGCCTCAAGTGCTTGAACTGAATATCTTAAGCATTTTTCCCTCAATTATTTTGGGAGGAAAAAATAAATCTTTTATTTGCTTAAAAATAGATGCTCAACATCTCCAGCCTCTGGAAGGCTTTTCTTGTAATGGAGAACAGAGAGAGTGTCCAGCTAATTCAGCAAATCCTGGAGAGAAAGAAAAGGGGGAAAAAAGGGAAGAAAGGGCTCACCTGATTGCTGCCAGGTTTTTCTTCTGTGAAATAGCAAAATGAGTTATTCAACAAGCTTGTGATGTCTTTGACCTTCCCAAAATGAGTTATTCAATGCCATGTTTTTTTCTTAAAATAGCTTTTGTTGGGATACAATGTGCACAAATGACTATTGTCTTATTTTGGCACGCACTGTTCTTGAAAACTGGCTTATTTTGGCAGGAGACATGCAAAGAGAAAAATACTGTAGCTCATAGACATTGCTACAAAAGTGACATTTATTGTGCAGTGTGCCCAACAAATGCCCAACTATACTTGGTGTTTCTTAACTCAATCAAGGTGGCTGGCAGCTAACACATTGCTGAGAAGCGCATGCAATTGGAAATCATATAACAACCAGAAAAGTATTGGCGTCTTGGTTGTTGATTTTGCTTTGAGCTCACAGAAACCTCTTAAGGAAACCCTCAACTCTGCCATGAATAGCTTCAGTTTCCAATAAATATTACTCAAAGTTAACATATGGAAAGCTAGTTTGGCATAGTGCTTAAGGTAAGGTAGAAACCAGGAGATGTGAGTTCTAGTTCTCCATAGGTATAAAAGCCAGATGAGTGACTTTGGAGCTGGTCACTCTCTCTCATCCCAACTCACCTCACAGGGTTGTTGTGGGGAAAATAGGAGGAAGGAGGACTAATAGGTATATTCCCTGCCTTGAGTTAAAATCAAGGCGACATTAAAAAAAAAAGTATATCCAGAATCAGGAAGAATCAGCAAGATGACAAAATTCAAGTGAGAACAGGACTTCTTCATTTTTTTTAAAGTGTAGAAGAAGGAATTTCGGCAATAGCTGCCTATCTGACAGTACAAGGTGACTCTGAGCAGCCTGCCTGATAACTGCAGCTTGCAAGCCTGAGACAAGTCACAGCTGCTTAAAGGAGTTGCAGACAAGTGATAGATTTGCATTTTGTATGCAATGAAACATGTTTGCCCTTGTAAAGCTCTAGTACTTATATTTTGGCCACAGTTAAGATCTGATATAAATGATAGACATGTTGGACAAATTTGGTTTTTTTGGCCAAATGATTTTTCTCTGCCAATTTTACTTGTTGGTAGATTTTAGTTTGAAGAATGTTGAATTATTGTGATAAACTAGATATTAAATTATCTTTTAGGAGAAACATGCACTTGATTACTTTGTTTTGCATTAGATCAAGGATAACAGAAAACACACGTAGTTTGCAAAAGGAGAACATTGTTGCTTTTGTAATAAATTTATTCCCTTATTTATACATACATTTATATACCACATACTTTGAAACACTTGAGTCAGATTATAAGAAAAGAAGGAATTACAAATATATAAACAACTAACATACACACACACACACACACACACAGACATATATATATACACACACACAACTAAGAACAAAAATCTATAAGAAAGGCCTACCACATAAGATTTCAAATATTGTTATTCTAGCTAATCTCGTGGCAAGAAATAGGAAAGGAGTATTTCTTAATTATCTTGTTGATCTATTATGGGATTTATGGGACAAAAAAACCTGGTGGATTTACAGCTCAAGTTGGGAATTTAAAAATAAAAATAAAATGTGTGAAAGAAATGTATTAGAAAAGTTAGAAGACACTCAAAACAAGAGCTTGGGGTTTTATTAGATCTTGGTATATGGCATCTATATTCATTTTGAGGTGCTTATACACTTTCTTGACACTTTAGGATTTCAGAAAATGTTTTCCAAACCTCAATTCTAATTGCTATGGACTCTGCAATAGTAGGAATTATTTATATAATTATTTGAAGAATAGTGGATCAGTGTTTGATTAAGGATTAAACACAACAAGTAAAATCTATTTTAGATACATAGGATTTTAAAACTGCATTAAGATTTCTTGGGTTTATGTTGTAGATCAGATTTAGATCACTGCAAACTTCTGTGCCTGCAACTTAAATTACTATTTTTGCTTCCAATTTGAAAATTCTGTCAATATTTAGATAATTAACATAGAAGATTTTTATTTTACCATAGGGACATCTGTTTAATGCACTTTTAAAAACTTTGTTTGCCTTGGATGTGATTCATGATTAGTTATAAATAATGCAAATGTGATTGGTTGAAATAATACTATTTCTTGATTATTTCCATAAGTGTAAAATAACTTAATTTTTTTTCTGGCTGACTTCATCTTTCCCAAATTTTTATATTGAAGGATGTTCAAGATCCCTCAGTTATTGTCACCTTTCCATTGGAAGATGATGAAAGTATCTCTCTTGTTGCTTGGACGACAACTCCATGGACTTTGCCTAGCAACTTAGCCCTGTGTGTTAATCCAGATTTGCAGTATGTGAAAGTGAAAGGCAAGTATAAAACATGAGATGGCATATAATTATTGATTTCTTCTACCATATGCAAATGATATCTTTGTTTGAAAAAAACATCCCAGTTAGTGCAATGGAGTAAGAGAGTATAAGATTCTAGATACTGTATTAAGGACAGTAATTTAATACGGTAATTCAGTCATGTGGAATTTTGAAATATCTTGCGCATAAAATCCACAAGATAGTTGTTTCAAGTTTGAAATGGACTGTTCCAACCTTAACCGCACTCAGATGCTATGCTGACTATTCTGGGAGTGTTTTAATCAAGAAATGGCCCTGATTCAGGTATTTCAGGTATAGTTTTGAGCTTGGAATACCTGGAATGATTGTAACAGCCCTGGAATGCTTCTAATACAGTCAGTTTTGCTATTTAAATCCCTTGATTTTAAAATGTTTTTCATCCTTTCTTCCACCGGTAGCTGTACTCCATGAATGAATAGTTACTGTTGGCAGCAGCACAGGCTGTCTATAGGCACATGAACAAGTAACTAACTTCAAGGCTGATTGACTTTGTATATTTGTTTTTTATTTTCATTTAACACCCTTTCTTCCAGGAAATTCTAGCTGATCCCATAATAAACCTTACAAAAAGTAGAAAATTAGTAATAGTTATATAAAGTGTTTTCATTTTACACCTGATTAACCTACACATGATGATTCAGATGGCATTGTAATGACACAAAGATGACTATTTCTAGAAAGCAAACAACTTTGACTTCTTGTCAAGAACATTTGTATTTTTGTCCACTAAATGCCATGAGCAAAACAGTGAACAGCTGATACTCAACAGTTTCCTTTGCTAAATCCTGTAATTCATTTTTAGGGGTAATTTCATTTTACGTACTTGGAAATTATGGATCAGGAATAAGCAAAATAGAATTACTTCCCATATACCATATTCATGCATATACCGTATTTTTTGGAGTATAAGTCACACTCCCCCCTCCTAAAAAAGAGGGTGAAAATTTGAGTGCGTCTTATACACTGAATATAGTATACCTGCCCATCCACTGGCCCCCACCCTTTTTCCTCTGCCTCCCAGCAATTTATCTCCTTGTAGCAAACAACAAACAGCCTGCTTCAATTTCAGGTTCAGCACAGCTTGATTAAGACAAGCAGCTGATTGTCAGTTGGATCGGCCTCCTGACTATCAGCTGTTTCAGGCTGCAGGGATTACTATTGCTTATTGCTGCCTCTGTGCGGCCCATTTTTGGCGTCTGTGCGCCCCATTTTCTGCCATTCTGATCCTCGCTGTCTAGAATGGGTAGAAAATGGGGCGCGGAGACAGCAATAGGCTATGGCAATCCCTGCAGCCTGAAACAGCTGATCTGACAATCAGCTGCTTGTGCTAATCAGGCTGTGCTGAAATTGAAACTGAAACACCTGTTTGCTGCAAAGAGGCAAATTGCTGGGAAGCAGAGGCAGATTTTTTTTCCTGTGCTAATCAGGCTAAACTGAAACTGAAACAGGCTGTTTGTTGCAAGGAGGCAATTTGCTGGGAGGCAGAGGTAGATTTTTTTTCTTGTTTTCCTCCCCAAAAGCTAGGTGTGTCTTATACTTCAGAGTGTCTTATACTCCAAAAAACATGGTAATTGAGTTTAGACATATTGTAAGGACACTTTTGAATTGCAAAAATGAAAATCAGTGTTTATATTATAGAAATTTAAAGCATTTTACTTTTAAGCTTTCTCATGTTGGCTATGCTTAAGGCCACTCTCCTTCTATCCTTGGAGGAAATACCATCAATTTCTACAGGTGAAAACACCTAATCAACCTTGATTGATCTTGAAAGCTAAGCAGAGTCCAATCTGGTTAATACTTGGATGGGTGACCACCAGAGGGCCAGAATGAGATTTCTAAAAATATTTCAGAGGAAATATAGCAAATCATTTCTGTCCTTTTGCCAATTATTGCATGAATTGAGTTTGATTCAAAGGAAACTCTGAATATAGTAAAACGTTCTCAGCAGATAATTAAAAAATTATTCAATTCTCAGATAAGCTGTTATCTTTGCTTTCTTGAGTTTACATCTGAAATTCTCTTGTCCAACTTTTGTTTACTGCTTGTATTCACTTCTCAACTACTAACTCTTCATTGTACTTCACATCCTATATCAAGCACTCCTTGGAAGTGTTAATATACTTTCAATTTTTTTAAAGCAGTGTATTTCAAACTTAGCAATTTTAAGATATCTGGTCACAGCATGCTGGTTAGGTAATTCTGAGAGTTCAAATTCACACCTTAAAATTGCCAAGTTTTAAAAACACTGGTTTAAAGGGAATACTTTTTCCTAATAAATACATGTTTGGTGATTTCAGTGCTCTGCATTGAATTCAGAGTGTTACTATACCTGGACTTCTATCCAGAGTTTTTGTGAAGGGAAGTAACAACAAGGTTTCAATACTGGTTAATGAGTTAAAGAAGCCGCCAACAAAAGCTTCATTGATGTACTGCAAGCATATAAAGAAATCCATTGTTAAGGTTCATTAATTCAGGTGACAAGGCTAGTTGTATGCCTAACCTAAATAGTAGTTTTTGATTAAGGAATAGCTAATAAATCAGTCACAGTTTGTAATATCATACTATATCACAGTAAAGTTTCTTTTTTTCCAAAACTGGCTGCATTGATTGTATTTAGTCAACTATGTACCAAAGAAGTTGCTACTTTTTAGCAAAAAATCAGAGTTTGAAAACATGGTTTGAAGGTTCATTTTAACCATGACACATCTTGGCTTATTTCTGCTTTTTTGGTCCTCCCAGCCAACTTCTCAGTTCCTAGAAGTGAAGAGAAGGGTAGTTAAAAAATAAATTAGGAAAAATAAACTAGGAATTGTCTGAGCATGATAAGCTTAATGTTTTTGGTCACACTTGAAATAAAATAAAGATAAATTCTTGCTTAAACTTAAATAGAAATATAGTCCTGATGTCAGTATTTACATTTTCATTTTTTATTGCCAGTCTGGGACTTAGCAGTATTCCATTATTAACATTAACATTGCATATTTATATTGCTATTTCTATTATAGTGCAGAAACTGAATCTTTAAGGTTATATTTTTTCAGACCAAAATACTGGGAAAAAATTCATATTGATGGAAGCTAGATTGGCATCTCTCTACAAATCTGAAAGTGAATATGAAGTACTTGACAGGCAAGTCAATAGATTATTGAGTGCTTTTTAAAATCATGTAATTTATAAATAATTGCTATGGAAAAGGCAAGAAAAGCAAAAAGTAATGATTTATCTGCTCTGTAGATTGACATATGAAAGTACATGCATGTTCTATACTCTCAAAGGGTTTGATACTCAGAATTGAGTATTGCATTAAGTTGGAAATTTTATCTGTAGCAAAGTGCTGACTTCGTTTTATATATCTGCTATCAATCATGTTAAAGTGTTGAAATTTCTTTTGGAAACGAAATAGGAACGGTATTGTCTGCAGCAGCAATTAAACCTTTTGCTTTCATCAAATTCTGAAGCTTGCTCTTACAAATGGATCAGATTTCAGCATGTGACAATTTCTGTCATTTTGAACCATCTTCTTCCGCCTTTCCCCATTAGATGCTGCTGAATAAAGCTGAAGGATCCACAATTTTGATTCTATCTTCAGTCATTCTTTTGTGGATCTATCTTGTTCTCTTTGGGGCAACATCTCTTATAATGAAGGGGTCTTAGGTACTATCTATCAAACCAAAGTGAGGCTTCCCCTGCTTGTGAAGAATAACAGCTATTAATAAAAACTATTTGTTTTTCCTTCCCAGTTATATTAAAGCTATGAAACACACACACACACACACACACACACACACACACACACACACACACACACACACA